GCTAATAAGCCATAAATGGCCATTCCGGCCTCCCTTTGCTTTGTCGGATCCATTTCGCCCACTTAAGTTTCAGTGGCTGCCTAATTACAACAGACCTAACAACTACTGCCGGTGGTGGGGCGTCTTTTGGCTGTACGTCTTGGGTTATGGACATTGCCCACGTCGAGGTCTCTCTCTCTGTCAGCAATGCTTGTTCTTATTGCAGTTTGTTCTACATAGGCTAAAATGGGCTGCGCTGTACAGAAGGGCCTGCCTACGAAGAAGTTGCGGATAGACTTCTCGGGGCATGATTCACCCACCCACCCACTCGCGCGCCGTACTGACTTGCGCATTATTTTTGGAATCGGAAGTCAAGTCTGACACGCCCCCTTCCCCCAACCCCCCACCGGCTAGTCAGCGAACAGATCGCACCTGACAAGTACGCTTACCGCACAGCAGCGGCTGCCAGCTTGCCAGTGGAAGGGCAAATCCACTTCCTTCCCCGTCCTCCTCTTCCCTTCCCTCTTCCTTCGCCCGCCTCTTCCCACTTCACCCAGTGAAGGCAAATATTTTCCCATGCCACCGCTGCCACCGCTGCTGCCTCTCATTCTGTCGATAATCCGCTAGTATTTATCATAAATATAATCAACACCACCATCATCATCATCATCCTCACCATCATCATCCTCAGCATCATCATCATCATCATCATCATCATCATCATCATCATCATCATCATCATCGCCAACTGACTGTCTGTGGCAAGTGATTCAGCCGGGCAGCAGTAGACGCCATTGCCTGAGGTTTCGGCTTCCTCATCGGAGGTATCATTAGATACGGGGGCTCTTTACACTGCAAGGAGTTGCAATATTTATAGGATACAGTCGCTATGGCAGCTAACAGCTCTCCTTGTCCTCAGGAGGGGGAGGGGTGCGATAATTGATTGATGGCAGGCATTCGCCGCATTCTGCCGAACTTTTGATTAGTCGTGTTGGATGTTGGTGTGATGAGTGCTCAGCCCTCTGGCCTGCCAGCTCTGACATTGGAAACAGTTGGCCTACGCGCTTACCTAGTGGTGACTTTAACCAAAATGTATCTCAGTACCGAATATGGAGTTGGTAAGTGTCGTTGCAGAGTGGGGAGGATCGTGAACCACAACCCAAGCAGCTCACGTGGCTCACATGTGACTGCCACCTATCGCGAGCATTTCGGTCCCTGCAATTAAATGCACGACCGCGTGGTCTCGTCGAATGAGCCGCAGCGATTGGGAATGGGCGTCATTTCTCTGCTTTACTGCCGCATGTTAAGCAAACCAGATTAGTAGGTAGGCATACACCGATTAGATACAGGGCACACCCGTCCTGGTTTTTTAATGCCCAATGGATTCGGAAACCCCCGAACCTTTGCCACCTGGCTAATTGTAATGTTACTTACTAAGTTTCAGTAACATTTTTGTTATTTTTAGGACATTTTACCGTAAGACAGAGAGTCCCGGAAGGCCTTTTCTGGTTTATTTGCCGTCATCAGCAGGAGACACTGTACTCCAGTGTAGCAGCGGAAATTGCCGCCACCCTCGAGTTTCGAACCCACGTCTCTCCGGTCAGGGCCGAACGCCCTATCCACCGAGCTATCGGACTCGACGTCTTGACCGTCTGATCGGTGTACGCCTGTCTACTCATGTATGGTCCCGATCAACAACCGTCCTGGGACTCGTATTTTTGCTTGTATTGGCAAGTAATTTAAGTGTTAGAAAGGATAGAGCGTCAGGGCATTTACGAGGAGCAACAGGAACCAGATAAAAAACGCCCGAGTGTTGCCCATGTCCTCCAGGACGAT